ATAGACGCCGTAATTCTCTACATAATGTCAACAACTTTTGGGCAACTGGCTTTCGTCAAGTTATGCGAGCAAGGCCGCGATCTAGCCACCTACTACGCCTTGTGGATACTTATTACTCTAGACATCAAGGCCAAGTCCGCAGTCGAATATCTACTTAATCCGAAAACACCCATTCTCCGGTACATCATCCAGGACGACGAACGCAACGTTCTCTACTTGAATACAGTTTCTGCAGCCCAGAACCTTTCGGGCGAGCTCGGAGTTGACCCTGTGGTTTTTAACTGTTACCGGCGTTCAATTGTATTATCATCAAAGGATCAATATGCCAAACTAACTCTCCTCCTCCTTGAGAAGATGGGAGTGGAAGTCTTCGCCGACTCGGAGGACGCGGATTGTTTTCTCATCTTGCGGAATAGCATACTTAAGGATCGTATCATCGTTTTTAAACTATGGCTTGAGAATGGCGAATCAGTGGATCAGTCCATTGACGGGTCACCACTCCTTTGCATCGCTGCCGGAGCGGGAGTTACGCAGATTGCTCGTCTACTACTTGACGATCACAATAATTCTCTGGTCAATGGTGGGGCCTACAAATCAGATTCATCATTACCGAAAGCTTCCCAAGAGAACCAGAGTAATCTGCAGCTACACGGGCTGGTCCAATGGAGTACTGTTGATGTCAACGTTCGTGACGCCTCCGGGAGGACTGCACTGTCCTATGCTGCTGGGGACAGACATGATGATGTGGTGCAGCTACTGCTTCAACAGCCTACTGTTCATGTCAACGTCCGTGATATCTTCGGGAGGGCTGCACTGTCCTATGCTGCTGAGAACGGACATGGTGATGTGGTGCGCATGCTCCTAGGGCGGATTGATGTTGATGCCGCTTGAATAGTAAGTACGGGCCGGCTACGCTAGAAATTGCTGCTAAAAACGGCCATTGGGATATTGCCGTGCTATTGAAGGAACAGCTTGAACATCTCGAAACGCTCAAGACGGAATCAACAACCTCTACCGCCGACTCCAATTAACACCGATCTTCCAGAATATCGACATCTCTAACTCTCCGTCACAGTCTCTCTTCCCTCTCCTTTCCCCTGCCCTCCTACCAGCAATCTCCCTCGCCTCCTCTCATCTCATCTCAACTCAACCTTTCCGTGCCAGTTCAAAACCTACACTGGTTAATCATGCATTCGAAGTATGGAACAGCCGTGTTGCTGGATTGGATCACGGTGGCGGGTGGAGGATATGGGATGCGACTTTCTTTTGACTTTCGGTGGCGGTGGTGGTTGCTGAGGTTGTGGATCCAGAATGGGTGGAAGTGGGAGTTGTGATGGATGGGAAACGGCCAGATTCGGAGTGGGATAGGGAGAGACTTGGAGGGTATCAAAAGGAATGTTGAGCATCGGAGATGGAGTTATGGCGGTCGTTCAACGAGGTCGTAAAGGTTGCTTGCGAGTGTGATACTGTATTTCGTGTGGAGGTGGTTTACTTTCAAGTTGTTTTGATCCTTATGTTTTTTCTTCTTTTTCTTCTCTTTGCTGTTATTATCAAGTACTGTAACGAAGGTCAAGGGTTTTAAATTTTTAAGATGGTTCCCCCATATTATCGATACATAGCCTTCTGTGGCAATCCAGAAACCTGGTACGGAGAATTTATGAATCTTATGAACTCATCGCTATGTGGAGTTATGCCTCAGTTTGCATTTGTGATACATCGAAAAGCTGGTATTAAAGTACCATCTACTACTATATTCCGCCCGCCGTGACTTCTGAAGCACCGTTCTGTGGTCCTGAGCCGCTGTAAGGGCCCGTATATCCCCGTGTATCCCTACGAAATTTTGAGTCGTGTGTGTTGCAACCACAACATTGGAACGCGCAGTTACCCTCTTGACATCGCGTTTGGATCACCAGCATATGTGAGGCTCACAGCACCTGTATATCAACAATGCACGCACACGCAAAAAGGCGTATCTGTGTGGACACGCTCCGCCCACGCCTGCATCCCCACCCCTTCACATTTAATAACCATCATCTCTCACCCTGCAATCATGCTGAACAGCTTCTGGGCCACTTGGGATGATGATAAGAAATGATGCCTCGGAGTTCCACCAGAGGTGGAGGGCCAGATCTCGAGGGAGGGCGCTGGAGTGTGAGAGAGGAGTTGGAAGATCTATTTAGCAAGGATATGACTCCTCAATTCTGGGATTGGGTTTTACTATTACATGGTGATGACACTGGTTAAGTGGTGTTGATGATGGCCCACACCATGCATACCGTATACCCCAACGACGCATCAAAAAGTACAGCGAGACGCCCGGTGACGTGTGTGATGTACGAACTTCTTCGTTCGCTAGAACATCACTATCCGGAGCCACCTACCATCAATCACTCCCTCACCACGCAGGGAAGAGCAACGGCGCGGTTTGCGAAGTCACGATTGGGCCTGGATGATTTCTTAATGAACCACGACACCATGAGGCCAGCACTTTTGTATCCAGGCATTTGTCATTTTCTTCCTAAAGATATCATCCCCAAGCAATCCTAACCGATCTCCAACAGCAATAGCCCCGAAACAAGAAAAACAAAACAACAGAAAACTTCATACTCATTCTCAGGCCAACACTTTCCCTCCCCTCCCCACTACTTCCCTCCGGATCCCATCTACTCCGAATCCGAATCATCAATCCCCCTTGTCCCATGCTTCTTCTTCTTATTCTTCTTTGCCATCATACTAACCGCAAACGCACCCGCGGCCCCCACCGCAGCTCCCGTCAACTTCCCATACCCCATCTTATTGCTCGAATACGCGCCCAATGCGCCCGCGGCCAACGTTGTCCCAATCCCACGCTCGCCCTCCTCGCCCGGAGCTGGGCCTCCTTCAGCATAGGCGCCAGGACCTGCGTAGCCAGGTTGCCCGTATTGCGGTTGACCATCGTTGTTGCCGTAGTAGCCGGCGCCGTTGTTGCCGTCACGCTGTTGCTGGTCGTAAGGGTTACCGGTTGGCGGGCCGCCGTATTGCTGCTGCTGATTCTGCTGCGAGGGGTAGGGAGGCTGCTGGGGCTGCTCGTAAGGGTTGCCGGACGGGGCGGGGCTGTAGCCGTATTGTGGAGGTTGCGGGGAGCCGTATTGTTGCTGCGGAGGTTGCTGTTGTTGTTGATAGGGATCGCCGTAGGTGGGGTAGGGCGCGGGAGAGCCTTGTTGAGGATATGGGGGGTTTTGAGGGGGGTAAGGAGAGCCCGCGGGAGGGTAGGGAGAGGGGGAGCCGCCGTATTGAGGGGGGTATTGGGAGGGCTGTTGGCCGTATGGGTTGTAGGGGTCGGACATTGTGGTGGTAAGATTCCGGAGGTTCGAACGGAGGAAGTGGTGGTCGTTGGGGGAGCTGTTTATCACAGACTCTGGTACTCTTTCAAGGAGGATCGATCGATGACGGGGACGATGACGATACTGTCTGGCGGACGATAGAGAGAGAAAGAAGAGGGAAAGAGGGGTCATATGTGCCACCGGCCGATATAAGTAGCACCTAGGCATCTAGCTACCTAGCTCTCTCTCGTAAAAAAGCTCCCGCAACCCGCCCCTCCGCCCCTGCCTCCGCGTCTTCCGCGTACGCATCGCCGCATTTTGCGCAGCCCCACAGTGCTGCTCGGCATACGTTTCATGGGTTCATGCCCATGACGACCAATATGTACCCGTTGGGATCCCCATTCCCGTTGAGGTGCGGGGAGAAAGGTACAACTGGCAGTGTGGCTGAGGTGCTCGACGAGATGGCGACACGCTGGATGGCAATCCGAATTGGGGCTTAGCAGAGGCGGTTGAGGGCTCGATGGAGAAGGATGTGCCGAATGGAAGGTCGCGTGGGAGGCGGAGGGGGGGGGACTCGTCATCACTGACAGGGAAGAGGGAGGTGCGTCGTATGCGGATGACTGAGATGCGGGTGAAGCATCGCGGTGTGGTGGTCCATGGAGTGGGTGAGTCAGCAGTGGGGGAGATGTTCAATCAAATCATGTTTAAGACACACTTGTCTGAGAACTTAGTATATTCATTGGCGCTGAGGCCAGAACACCAAACAATAAACATATTGATTGATTGATTGAATTTATTTTAGTGTATACGTCCCGTTGGGGTATGGCGCGTCAACTATCCTTACACATCATCCTCCCTCCCCAATTGTCTAATACATTGTTTTCCTTCAATACATAATGTTCGTCCACTTTCAACCCTTCTTCTCGCCGTCCCATTGCACTGGCAAGGGACGCCATTTGGGTGGCCAGTCTGATGACATAGCTAATCCCTCCTCGTTCGGTTGGCTTACCCCCTAGCCGCATTTTTAGCGTGGAGAAACAAAGTTTCGACCGCATGCTTAGAAAAGTGGTGATGCCGGGATTCGAACCCGAGACCAAAAGGAGGGGCTTGCCTTATGGAATACCTGTATGGCTACTCCTAACCTCTGAGCCATACCATCACCCTCTGAGCCATACCATCACCTTAAAATCACATATTCAAATATGCATATACCTTTGCCATCCCAAAATGGGAATTTAGACATAATTATCAGCTCGGTTGGTCTAGTGGTATGATTCTCGCTTAGGGCCCACCCTAAGAAGCTTGCTTGCGAGAGGTCCCCGGTTCAAACCCGGGATCGAGCC